GATAAAAATCCATTTTGTGGCCATTCTTCCACCTCAAGTCTTCTGGATGGCAGACTGCTGTGTGAAGAAACTTTTCCTGGGGAGATGTTGTACACACATGTATTTTTTTTTTTTTTTTTTTTGGTTTTTCGAGACAGGGTTTCTCTGTGGTTTTGGAGCCTGTCCTGGAACTAGCTCTTGTAGACCAGGCTGGTCTCGAACTCACAGAGATCCGCCTGCCTCTGCCTCCCGAGTGCTGGGATTAAAGGCGTGCGCCACCACCGCCCGGCCTACACACATGTATTTAACCCAGACACGGAGTTCCCAACAGACTGGAATTCAGTATAGATACCACTAAAGCCCAACTTGGTGAACCAATGAGTTCTATTGGGGTTACTTAGAGGAGTATGGTTGGGGGAAAAGAACACTAACGGAAGCCATTCGCCACTTTTCCAGCTGACTAGAGCAGTCTCTGCCAACCCTACGGCAAAGGTTAGGGTCACAGCAACAGATGGGGACAAGGGATGGTAATGCGCCACAGCAAGAGAACCGGTAGAGGAAACAACAGTCTATGGCGTCCGATGGCCAGTCCTCCAGCTTCTGCCATACGCAGGTTAGCCTCTGGAGTGACCAAAGTCCTCCAGGTGGTCAGCTTGTGTGGTAATAATGAATCCTAAGTGCATCTCCAGTCTCCAGAAGCCGGTTTCACTCTGCTGTGGGAATTAGGGGACCACCTTTACTGCAATAGTAGATAAAGTGACAGTGGTGGACCCATCCAAAGGGACTTGAGGGGTTGGATAGTCCATTCTTTTACCCATATAGCATGTCCTGGCTTAAAGAGGTCTATGGTCAAGCTGGCAGGTAGCCACTCCCTAACTCGATGGTCTATGGCAGTCAGGGACAAGCCAAGAATCTACATTCGTTATCTCAGAACGATGCTGCCCAACCCTTATATCAGAGGCAGGAGTCTATAAAGGATAAGGGAGAACCCTGTTGTCAACAAAGCAATCTTCAACAGCTGGTCCCAGTGTAGGTGGGTTCCCCTCACACAGTGTTTGTTCCTTCCACCTTCCCAGAGCTCTGGAGACAGTATGTGGTGTCCAGGGGATCTTCAACCCTTCTGTCACCAATTGTGCCTCCTCGGCCACAACATTAGCCCATTATCCTATCCTTTGATGACTGGGACCCCAAACCTGGGAATGATTTTCTTTAGGAGACATTGAACCTTCTCTTTGTTGGTAGAGAAGGCCTCTACCCAGCTGAGAAAGCACAGAGTAACAGATACTTACAGTCAGTCTGAGGGAAGCTCAGTGAAGCCCAGAACTATATTTTCAAATGGGGCTCCTCGGGCACTCTGTACCCTAGAAGAGACCTTAGGTCCCCAGTGAAGGCTACTGCAGGCACATATGTTACATTGTCCGCACACCTGGGCTACACTGGAGAATCAAGGGATGTAGAAATGTCAGTCAGGTGTGGCCTCAAGAGCTGTCCAGCTAAGAGATAGGGTCTCACTATGTAGCCCTGGCTGTCTTGGAACTCTGTAGACCAGGCAGACCTCACCTCACAAGTGAGGCAGAGGGATTAAAGGTGCGTGCCGCCAATGAGTTGCTTAGGTATTTTTTATTCTCCAAAGCCTCATGCATGTGGAGGGTGGTGAAGGCACACTGAAGAGTCCATGTGTATTATTGACACACATCCCTGCTGCGAGCAACAGGATTCAGCTGAGTTCTGCCTTTGTGCTGAGGTTCCCATAGGCAGGCATTTCATCTCAAGTTGACTGTGAAGTGTCCTGAAAGATATTCTCCCTATCACAAAACTGCTACCATAGGTGAAATACTCAACATCCACAGTCCTTGGTAAGAAATAGCACCTCCAGGGGGCTGGAGAGATGGCTCAGCGGTTAAGAGCACTGCCTGCTCTTCCAAAGGTCCTGAGTTCAATTCCCAGCAACCACATGGTGGCTCACAACCATCTGTAATGAGGTCTGGTGCCCTCTTCTGGCCTGCAGGCATACAAGCAGACAGAATACTGTATAAATAATAAATAAATAAATATTAAAAAAAAAAGAAATAGCGCCTCCATCACTTTAATGTAGTCACGGTCTTGCTGGTCTAGACCAACAAACACGAGGGTCTTAGGGTTTGAGGTCCACACTACTTCTAGGTGAATACACAGGTTCTCACACATTTCCTGGCACCTGACCATCCAGGCATTCCTCAGCCTCCACTGTCCCTTGAACTCCATTAATGGCAGTACCGGGTGTGGCACTAAGACTATTAATTCTTTTCCCATAATCAATTCGTCAGTCTCTGACATGAAGATGGCAATGACAGTGAGTACCCAGAGCCAGGGTGGCCAGCCTTGGGCAATGCAGTTATGTTGATTGGAAAGGTGTACCACAGGGCAATGCCACAACACCAACATTTGTGTCAGGACTCCCATCCTAACGTCAGCACGCTCGTGCATGCACAGGAGTGTGGACACGTCTGAATGTGCTAAGACCAGGCACATTGGTGAGAGCTTCCTGATCTCTTCAAAAGCCTTCTGTTGCCCTTGTTCCCACAACAGAGGGTCTTGCTCTTCTCCGTATGGCCTCATAAAGTGGTTTTTGACAAGACAGAGAAATTAGATATTCAGATTCTACATAAACCTGTGGTCCCAAGGAACTCCCTAAACCTAGTGTTAGGTTGGGGAAACCCGGATAACCAGACAGTCTGCTCTCTTTCTGGGCTGAGTCAATGTTCTTTTTGGGATAGGTGAAACAAAAGCATTTGACAGATTTGGATCTTTTTTTCTTTCAAACCATGTAGCCTCCTCCCACAGGAGGGTTAAGAGCAGTTGTGTTCATTCCGTATAATCCTCCTGCACCCATGGCCAGCGGTAGTTTATCCACATACTGGAGTAGAGTTCAGCCATGTTGGCCTGCAGGGAATGCTTTTAAATCAGAGGCTACCCTCGGTGCCAAAAATAGTTTGAGAATTTTTGAATCCTTGAGGTAGTCTAGTCCACTTGCCACCATTTTTAGGATTCTTCTCCTGGAAGGAGAAGACTGGTAATCTCTGAAGAGTCAGGTGGATACAGAAAAAGGCATCCAGACACGTGATGAATGCAGCTTCAGCAGGATGAGACCCAGGAGACGGCAGAGGTCACAGACAACTGGGTGTAGGGTAATGGCGGCCTTGTTTACGGCTCATAGGTCCTGACCTGGCCAACAGCCATCTGTTCCTGTTTATAGCTGGGCAGGTTGTATTCCAGGGTGACTGGCAGGACCAGAGGATTCATAAATAGAGCAAAATTCTTAAGACCCAAAACAAGCTTGGGGCTTCAGAAAAGAATATACTCCCTCTGCTTCTGCTAGAACATAGTGCATGAGGGGAACCTTGCTCCTCCATACCATGTATCAATAACTATTAGCTTTTAAAAAGCAAAGCATTTGGTAACGTGGGCAGATTCACTGCTGAGTTTGGAAGGCCAGGCAGATAACCCTAGAGGAAGGGGCAGGCAGTAATGGAAATTCCCCCCTCCCCCCGCCAAATCCCATTTCTCCTTTGAAACATGTCCAGAAAACCAGACTTGGCACTTAGAGACCACATACAAAAGGCCAGTAAGAGTCCTGGTAACCGAGACCAGTTTCCTGCCACAAGGAATTTTAGCCCCAGCACAAGGCAGGGGAGAGTTTCTAAAGTCAAAACCCACAATTATATCCTACGAGAGGAAGGCAGGAGTCACAAGTTTTAAAGGTTTCCATTCAACTGATTAAGACAATTTGCTTTATATTGTAAAGCAACAGACCTCTGGCAGCTGCAGCTGTGGCAGCATCAGAATAACAGTCACAGAGGATGTGGTGGACTGGGGAGCAACTGGAGTGCTAAAACTAGGACAGAGTGGAGTTACTCTAGGCAGCTCAATAAAAGATGCTGGCGTGTTTGAATGTGGCAGATGCACATCCTCCCTCAGACTTCCAGCCCTCACTGGGTGACTTGTGATACCACCACAGTGTAAATGCTGTGGATAACTGCTCTGCTGTGTGCTCTAAGGGAAGAGTACACACATGTCTCTCAGAAATGAAAATTTTATTTGTTTATTATTTATCTGTTTATTCATTTAATTTTGATACTGTGTCTCACTAGAACTTGATTTGTGGACTAGGCTGTACTTTAACTCACAGAGACCAGCCTGCCTATGCCTCTACCTCCCAAGTGCAGGGATTAAAGGCATGAGCCAGCATGCCTGTTTCAGAAGAAAATTTTAAAGGTTTTTAAAGCCATGGTTAATTTCTCAAACGCAGAATCCTCGGGTACCCAGAGCCAACAGTATTTTAAAACACAGAAAGAGACAAAGAAGTGAGCCCATGGTGTTCCTGAGTCACTAGGGCCGATCTTTGTGGCTTTTCAAGGCAGGGTTTCCCTGTGTAGTCCCAGCTGTCCTGGAACTCGCTCTGAAGACCGTGCTGGCCTCGAGCTCACAGAGATCCGCCTGCCTCTGCCTCCCGAGTGCTGGGATTAAAGTGTGCACCGCTGCTGCCGGCTGCTTCCCTCTCATTTCACGGAAACACTGTCTCTCGGCAGACTGCCTGGTCCCCTAGCTAGCCTTATCACTTACAAGTCTGTGACTTCTGTCTAACTTTGCATCTCATATGGAAAAAATTCAGCCATCACATTTTAGGACAAAGTCTTTTTTTAATTTTTGCAAACATTTTACTTATTTACTTTTATGTTTACGTGTATGGATGTTTTGTCTGCATGTATACAGGATTCAGAACAGGTAGGACAGCTAAAATATTTTCATGTTTACAGCCTTTGAAATATTTCTTTCTCCTTATTAGTTCCTTTTTTAATGTCAGCAGACATTAACCAATTTATAGACATACTTGAAGACTTATGGTTGAAGCCAATAGTGTCAGCATGGACACAGAACGTTTGTCCTCCCTATAACATATATATATGTTATATATATATATGTATATATATATATATATATATATAGAGAGAGAGATAGAGAGAGAGAGAGAGAAAGATTTGAAGGTTTACCTTTTACCCTCTAATATCTTTAACTTTTATAAGGTCATGGTTGCATATAACCAGCAAGAGGATCATGCACAAAAGGCATATATGCCTTTACCTGTGCCTAACTTGAAATCCTCCCTGGCTATATACTTCAGGATGACCAGTTGTTTAAAAACCTGTGTCCACAATCTGTTGGTGTGGCCTTAGGATGGCTGAAACTTGTCTGTTGGGGCCACAGCCCAACGAAGTAACTGCTCAATAAATACCTAAGGGCACAGACTTGTTTCCTCAGGTGCTGGGCTCCTTCCTCCATCCTCCAAAGTCACTGCTGGATGATTGCTCCAATCAGGCTCTCCCAAACGCTGCAACCTGGGGCTGGATGTCCCACGGGGAGCAGCAACCCGCGTTCGCGCTCACCTTCTCCGGGCGCGTATCGCTTTAAGGGCGGCGGGGCTGCGCGCGGGCCTCGCTCTGGGCCGGAGCCTGCGCGTCCGTGTCCCCGGCGAAGGCTGCGTCTGCCGCGGACCCAGGGCAACGAGCAAACGGGGAGATGCTCAGGCTGCGCGGTTGCTGCGCGCGTCCCCGCGGCGCTCCGGTCCGGAATGAGCGGAGCCGGGCAGGCAGCCGCGCCCTGCGGGTGCTGGTGGACATGGACGGCGTGCTGGCGGACTTTGAGGGCGGCTTCCTCCGGAAGTTCCGCGCGCGCTTCCCGGACCTGCCCTTCGTGGCGCTGGAGGACCGGCGCGGCTTCTGGGTGTCGGAGCAGTACGGACGTCTGCAGCCTGGGCTGAGCGTGAGCACCCGCAGGCCCCTCAGCCGTGCCCCGCGGGAGGGGAAACCGAGGCCGCAGCTGTCCAGCCCCAAGCCAGCCCGACTTCCCCATGACCTCTGGCGGGTCGTTCTGTACTACAGGGCTTCAGGGAGGACCGGGGCCACAGCGCTAGGGGACCCACAGCTCAACAGCTGCAGGCTGGTCACCTGGGCTTCTAGCCCTAAAAAAATCTGTCTGGATTCTCTCTCCTTCTTTCCCTCCCTCCCTCTCCACCCTCTCTACCCACTTCCCTTTAGAATTGGAGATTGAACCCAGAGTCTCCTGAAGGTTAGACAAACTCTCTGTGACCTACATCTCCAAGCCTCTTACTTTTTTGTCTTTGTCATTGGCTCTCACTAACTTTACTGGCTGCCCTTGGACTAACTCACTCTGTAGCCTAGGCAGGCCTTGAAATTTTGATCCTCCTGCTTCAGCCTCCCAAGAAGCTGAGATCACAAGCCTGTAACACCAGGCTGGGCTTGGGTTTTAAATTCTTGGTGTATTTGGCCTCAGATAATTTGTTACATGGAAAAAAAAAATAGACTAAGCATTATGCCTCTGTACCCCTACGCAGACATGGCTATTTCTCTCTCCCCACGAATTTGACAGTGTCCTCACCCTCCTCCTGCGCTCCAGTCCGTGGAAGCATATATTTTCAGTGATACCGTGGCTAGAGAGTATGACTTTCCGGGTGTCACATGGGGAGTCAGAGTCTAGGTAGAGTCAACTTCCCTCTTGACCTGTATAAGGCCACTGGTCAACCCCCTCCCCATGGCTAGACAGCTACCCAGGCTTTTTGGTAGAGAGAATGTAATTTGGAGACTTAAACTACTCTATGAAAGGAACAGGGGAATTTGCCCAGCATTTACCTTAGAGAATGAGAGCCATCTTTCAGTTGGCTGCCCAGAGGCCACGGCTAGAGGAGTGGATGGTGAGAAGGTGATATATACCAGTTAGTAACACCTAGTTTTTCACATTCTCCAGGGACTGTGATGTCAGTAAGGTAATGAAGGAAAAGACACACAGACAGAAAGCTGGGTTCAGCCTAACTGCTCTTTGCTGGAGAAGCCTCAGCACCCCTGGAAGCTCAGGGCATTCACTGTACAGAATTGGACAGAAAGGCGGGCGCATACAGGTGAACAAGGGGGCATGGCTTGTGGTGGACAGCTGGGTCTGGGAGACAGGTTTAGCTCACCTAGGTAGGAGTCATCTGCAGGGGAGCAGTCTGCTTGCGGCAAACATCCAGGGGAGAAAGCTGGGGCGGACATTTTCTGCACACACTGTCAAAATCTACAATCAGACCAGAGGAAGGCTTTCCCATGCTCCGGGCCTCATCCCAGTGGGAGGCTTTGCCTTTCCTTCATGGCTCTGCCTCTGTCAGCAACACGCATTCACTCTGGACTTTCTCCAACCCCTGCATGGTCCACTACTTTGTCTTGACTGTAGGAAGATGCTACTGTCTCCACTTTGTACACAAGAAAAACCTGTTCCCACGTCACAGGATAGCAAGGCGTGCAAGTGGGATTCCAACCCAGCAACCTGCCCGCCTGCGCACGTGTTTCTTTTTTTTCCTCTCTAATGTCCTGTTCCCTGTTGTGCTTTCTCTTTTAATTTCATCAAGGTGCACAGCCCAGTGGTAGAGGATTGCCTAGCAAGTGTAAGATGCTAGGGTTCCTTCCCAGCCCTGCAACTCTCCCCCCAAATCCCATACCGCTACATAATAAATCAAGCAACTCTACAATAACTTGGTTTATTGAGGTACTGGAAGGGGACATGGGGCATCATTTCGTTCATTCTCAGATGGTATTTCTGCAGACAACTTCCACAGAGCGCCCACGTAGCTGACATCTCCCAGTGCTGAGAACTATGAAAAGCTTTAAGGCAAAGGAAACAATCACCTGGGTCACCTCTGTAGCCTTGCACTTGTAGATGACTGACCAGTGCTCAAATTTGGGGGACACAATTTCCTTATGGGATTGTATTAAATTTATTGATTTATTTGTTTAGTTTGATGTGTGTGTTTCGTCTGCATGTATACATGTGTGCTATGTGCAGTTCTGGTGTACGAAGGTCAAAAGAAGGTATCAGAGCCTTGGAACTGGAGTTCCTTGCAGATGTTTGTGAGCCACCATGGAGGTGCTGGTGGGAGGTGCTGGTGATTGAATGTAGGTCCTGTGCAAGAACAGCAAGTGCTCTGAACTACCGAGCCATCTCTCCAGCCTCGGGAATACATTAATGGGATAAAATAAAATCTACCCAGACTCTGCAAGCAGTCTTGCTCTAAACCAGCACCATCAAGAAGAAAAGGGAAAGAAGACTGCAACAAAGACTTAGCGGTTTTAGCTTAGTGGTCGCAATTACATAGGCTGCATGAGGCCCTGGGTTTCATCAACAGCACTGTAAAACAAGGAGATGGTGCAGTGGCTCAATAGCTCTTTGTGTAGCTACTCCAGGCCCAAAGGGACCAATTCCCATCTTTTAAGTGCAAGGTGAGAGAGCACAGGGAAGAAGGAGGGGATGAGAGGAATCATTGATTTCCACCTCATTCCTTTTCCAAGCCTCAGCTCACTGAAAGACCCCCCCCCCCAGCCTGCTTGTGACCTAGTTGTTTGAAGTATCAGTGGTTAAACCTAACAGTCTAGGTATAATGGCTGCACTCATTTTTACTTTGTGTTCTTACCCCTTGGTATTGGGAAAACCCATTCCAGAACCCCCATGGTACCAAAGTCTATAGATGCTCAGGCACTTTGTGTAAAATAGCATGTATTGTGTATGACCTGTATAGTCCTATATAGGTCAGCCCTGCTGTAGGAGACATAATAAGAGTGCAGTGTAAATGCCATGGAGATGGTTTTAAATACTGAATGCAATACTGGGAATAATGACATAGTAAAAGCCCTCTGAGCGTTCAGTACATAGTAACTCCCCCTAGTATTTTTGTCTGTGGTTCTTTGAATCCATGGATGTAGACTCCGTGGCTCCAAAGAGTCAAGGAGTACCTTTGTCTTTCTTCCTTTTGGTTTCACAGTACTCTTGGAAGGAAAGCAGGCTGAGGTGGAAAGAAAAGTCTTAGACTTCTCAGCTGTTAGGACAGAGAACTGAGCCCAGAGAGGACACTGCCTCTACCAGTGCTTCCCAGGGAGCTGGGAGGCCAACTACAGGCTTGGCGTTGGAACCCCGTGTCTGTCCTGTCTCACCAGGACTTTGGGAGAAAGAGATGGGTCTTGTCTTTGTGTTCTTGGTGAGAAGCTCTTTGAGAGTGGTGACCAGCCCAGAGTTGGCCCACAGCAAGGGTCATACTGACTCCATATGTGAGTTCAAGTCCTAATGGCATTACTCCGAAGTGGCCTTGAAGGAAATCATGCTTTTCTTAAATTGTGGACCAGCAATCTTTGGTCCTTGTAGGCTGTAAGGGTGGAACTTAAGAATGTATCTCTGTATCAGTGTGCTTGCTCAGCCCGTGTCGTTGACAAGGGGATGGGTGCTCTTTAACCAGGCATTGGTGTTCCTGTGCCACACACATGGATAGCACTGAGATGCTCCGCTCTCGGAGGCTGAGATGTCTAACTTCCCCCTTGCCTGGCCCTAGGGGAGATCTGGCCAGCACTCTGGGAACATGAGCTCTGACCTACTCATACATGGTAGAAAGGGGATCCTTACTCAGCCAATGTTTTGCTGTATGGCATCAGTTTTACTATAGCTAAAAAGAGGGTTTATATTTCTTTCTGAGACAGGGTTTTATTTTGTTGCCCAGCCTGACCTCTCAAGTAAAGGGACTAGCATGGGCCATTAGGCCTGGCAGAGGGTCTGGATTTTGGCTTTCAAATTTATAAGCAACAAAATCCCTTTTTGGGAGGCAGAGGCAGGTGGATATCTGAGTTCAAGGCCAGTTTAATCTCCATAGAGAGTTCCAGGACAGTCAGAGCTACACAGAGAGATCCTATCTCAATAAAATAAAATAATGTCTTGGTTCCTAGCACATAAGCCAGGTGAGAGCACAGCTGTTCTGATCGGTGTGATGAAGCACCTGGGGCCCTCCTAGCTGTCCGTTTCTCAGTTTACCGTGTTTCTATCCTTGAGGACCATGGTGCACTTCGGGATCTCTGAGTTCTTTCAGCTTCCAACCCTAGTGGCTCTTTCATTGTGACCATGCATGCATTCCCTCGGCCCCTGCTGTGTGCTGTGTGCTGTGCGCTGTGTGCTGTGCACAGTGTGCTGTGCGCTATGTGCAGTGTGCTGGCTGTACTAGGCAAGCCTAGCGCACGTGTACTTTGTGAAGACTGTCCTCAACCTGAGAACACCAGGTGGCTGTCCCCGAACTGACACCTTAGTTTGTCTCTGCTGTGTCCTAAGAGAAGTCACATCCTTTCTGAGAGGGGGGATCAAAGCACATGCCAACTCCTTGTGATTCCCCCAGGACATGGGGTCTGGGGTGAGTGTAGGGAGCCTTGAACCCCCTTCCCAGCTAGTAGCAGCCCTGCCCAGCTGTGTGTGTTTCCAAGAGGAGGGTGGTGGGACAGTGGGGACCTGGAGGTGACTTGCATTTTTGACTTCTTAGGAGAAAGCCGTCAGCATCTGGGAGTCAAAGGATTTCTTCTTTGAACTCGAGCCTCTGCCAGGAGCCGTGGAAGCTGTGAAGCAGATGGCCAACCTGCAGAAGTAAGTATGCCTTCCTGCCTTGGGACTCTATCTTTATCTTGCTGTTTTGCCCTTCTCTCCTTGGCCCTGCAGAGGCCCATTGCATTCTCATTGCTGACCCTGGCAAAAGACCTTGCAGGCACATGCTGTGGGCACCAGCATGGGCTTTGCCCACCAGGGAAGTCCAGCTTGCCATTGTGAAGTAGCCACACAGGGCGGAAGAGCCTATTCAATTGTCACGTGCTGAACAAAGGGGAGCAGCAGGCCTCACCTGGAAAAGGGGGTTCAGATAGGACAGGGTGTCATCTTGTTCTAGTGAACTGAGAGCTCGTGTGTGGTGAAGCCCTCACTCAGCACCCACCCCCTACCGTCCTCTGGAGCCCATTGGAGCTGTGGACAGTGCGTCCCTGAGATCTTTTACAGCCTTGTTGACTAACTCCACACCGTGTAGCTTCCCCATTTCAAGCGTACAGTTCAGTGGCTTTTAGAACACTTACAAAGTCATGGAGCCATTGCTACTGTCAATTTCAGATTTTTCTTCACCCCCTAAAAGAAAATGTCAAACACACTAACACACTGCTCATTCCTGCCCTTCTATGGTTCCTAAAAGCCACTGATCTACTTTCTGCCTACCAGCCTTTGCCTGTTACAGACAGTTCATATAAGTGCTGCCATCTAGTGTGTGGTCTGGCTTCTTAATGATTTTAAGGTTTATCAGTTGTGTAGTAGCTGCCAAGGCTCGCCGTTTTAATCTTGTGAGTGTGTGTGTGTGTGGGGGGGGCGTTCAGGGCATTTTGTATGTCCATTCATTAGCTGGTGGACGTTTGGACTGTTTTCCCTTCTGACTCTGTGAATAGTGCTGCTGTGGACATTAGTGTTAGCATTTGTTTGAACACTTGCTGTTACTTCTTTGGGGCATAATCAGAGTAAAACTTCTAGGTCATAGGATAATTATATTTAATGTTTTAAAGACCCATCAGGCTATTTGCCATTAATTTCAGGAAGACTGCAGTTTCTTGATGTGTTTATCAACACTCATTACTGTCTTTTATTTTTTAACTATCATGGCGGTGGCTGTGACTATGATCTCTCATTGTGGCTTTTCTTTTTCCTGTGTTTTCTTTAAGATTTTAACTTTAGCTCTTAAACAAATCATTTTATTTTAGGTGTATGGTGTTTCATCTGCATGCGTGTCTGTGCCCCACATGCATGTTTGGTGCCTGTAGAAAGCAGATGAAGGTGTCAGATTCCTTGGAACTGGAGTCACAGATGGTTCCGAGCCAATGCTGGGAATAAACCCGGATCCTCTGGAAGAGCAGCCAGTGCTTTTAACTGCCAAGCCATCTCTCCAGCCCCTTAACTTTGGGTCTTACTGTCAGATCATGATCCTGCCTATCTTTCTATCTAATCTGTCTGTCTGCCTCTCTGTCTGTCTATCTTTGTGGTGCTGAGGCTATCTATCTGTCTGTCTATCCATCCATCCATCCATCCATCCATCCATCTATCTATCTTTGTGGTGCTGAGGATTGAACGAAGGGTTTTGTGCATGTTAGGTATCATAGTTGCTTTTCTATTGCTGTGAAGAGACACCATAACCATGGTAACTTATAAAAGAAAGCATTTAATTGGGATATTGCTTAAAGTTCCAGAGGGTGAGACCACGATCATCGTGGTGGGGAGCATGGCGGCAGGCAGGCAGCAGGACACTGGAGCAGTAGTTGAGAGCTTATATGTTATCTTCAGGATGGAGGCAGAGAGATTGAAATTTGCCCTGGTGTGGGCTTTTGAAACCTCAGAGGCACTCCCAGTGACACACCTCCTCCAGCAAGGCCACACCTTCTCCAGCAAGGCCACACCTCCTCCAGAAAGGCCACGCCTCCTCCAACAAGGCCACACCTCCTGATCTTTAACAAACAGTCCACCAGCCGTGAACCAGACATTCAAATGGCCTGTGGGGCCATTGTAATTGTAATTCAAACCACCAGACTAAGTGGCTGCTCTGGTTATGGCCCAGTTTTTCTGGTCCTTTTTTTTTCCCCAGATAGGTTCTCACTAAGTAGCTCTGACTGGCAAGGAGCTTGCTGTGTAGACCAGACTGACCTTGAACTAATGGAGAACCACCTGCCTCTGCCTCCTGAGGGCTGGGATCAAAGGCACACACCACCATGCCCAGCTCTTCTCTATGCGCTGTGAGTCCGGAAGAACTACTTTTGTGTGTGAGTATCTAGTAAGCCCAGCTCCTTTTGTTGAGAAGACTATTATTTCTCCCATTGAATCGTCTTGGCACCCAGTTTAAAGTAAATTGACCCAAAATATAAGGGTTTACTTTGAGATTTGCCCATGATATTTCTTTAAATGTAACAAACTGAATGACATAAATGTGATACGGTCTTCATTGTGCTGTGTATAAATGCCTCTATTACTTTCCACTTCCAAATTCTAGTATGAGGCTGGTGGGGATGGTTTGCTGCCACGCTTAAGTTTAACCCCAGAATCCACACAGTAGAAGGAACAAACCTATTCTGGTAAATTATCCTCTGACCTCCACATGTGTGTCCCCCACACAGTAAATGTGTAAATTCAAATCTAACAAAATGCAGATCTGTTACCACCCGGGGCCAGAGGAGGTGGGGATGGGTACTGATTGCTTAATAGGGTTTCTTCTGTAGGTACTAGAAATATTCTAAAAGTTAAGTTGCAGTTGTGTTAGTAAAACCCTTCAAATACACTAGAATGTATTTAATTAAATACTTTAAATGGATAAATATTATATTATATGGATTATATCTCAGTACAACTTAAAATCAGGCTAGGAGTAGTGATACACACCATAATCTCAGCCTCAAGAGGCAGAGACTGGTGGATTTCTGTTGAGTTCAAGGCCAGTCTGGTTTATATAACAAGCTCCTGGTCAGCCAGGACTACATGGTGAGACCCTGTCTCACAAACAATATAAAGCAAACAACAACAAACCCTAAAATAAAACAAAAAAA